TATTTCAAATACCATCTGTCCAAATAAATTTCATACTTTTTGTAAAAGTCTATCGTAACTAAATTATTTTTTTAGGAGATATCTTTAAAGTCTTTTTCTAAATTTCTACAATACTGTACAGTTATTTTATTGATTAATTATTTTGTAAAAGTAATCTTATGATATTGTATCTAATAGAATTTTTTCTTTTAACCAACCTTATGATAAATAAAAAACCATACATTCTGTTTATAATTAAACTTCATATAAAATTTCACATTTATATTCATTAATATTATAGTATATCGTACGATAATTAATACAATAATACTTTAGCTTTTATTGTTACTATATTTACTGTAGTTTTAGTCTTTAATAAGGTCATAAGTTATGTAACTTGTGAAACTCATTCTTATTGTATAATAAATTATAGTAACTTCAATAGTTAAGATCATGATTCAGTTGGAGATAGACCACCATAGAGAACTTGGAAGCACTGGACGGCCGTTTAGTCCTATTGTGAGACTACTTAGCTGTGAGCATCCATGACCTCGCCTTCTGCGAGATTCTAACCAAGGACCTACTGGTTTCGCGCATGAGCACTTAATCACTAAACCATTGAGCAAGCATCCAACCGCGTTAATGACTAACATCAAATGGAATGATATATTTGGTAAACCAATAATGTAGGACGTATGCATTCGTATTTGATAATGGTGATGTTTGAGAAATACCCTTGATAAGCTTGGACCACACCACAGTGTGAAAGATTGGATTTGTTTTGTTTTCAGTGACAGATTTTTACAAGTATTATTTTCTACTTAGCGCCTGACAAATTTTTTTATTTAAGATCAGTGTTTGTGGATTAATTCTATGCTCATCAAGAATACTATAGCAGAAATGAAAGGTAGTTTCTTGGAGAACAAAATGATTTTGATAAATTATTCAAACCGAATCAAACGTATCGAAACATTTAATATGTAATAATTGAACTGGCAATTTATCTATTTTATTATTTTATCATAACAAACTCTGATTTGATTAAGAGTCTCTTTGACCTTCACCTAGGTTTTCTATGGATTTTTCATTTATCTTGTACATTAAGAATACGGAATTAGAATTAAAAAAGTTCCTCCTAATCTAAATATTTCATGAAAAGTGAATAATGATTTTAAAAAATAATCCTACCACATTATTTCCACAATATAATTCCTGGAAATTTATGATAACCAACCCCTTTGTATCAATTTACATCCTATGAAATGATGCTTATCAAAGGAATAGAGAGTGTATAAGGTTTGAAAAATCTTATTGGACTAGGTTGAATCAGTTAATGACCAGCATTGGAGCTTTCAAGTGAGCATAAGTAAATGGATTTTGCTAACTCTGTAAAATTACTTAGATTAGCAGAAATAGACGTTCTCTAATTATCGTAAAACGTTTCTTTTCCAACAGTTTTACTAATGATCATGAAGGATTGTAAATAATTAACGACCTTCGATATAATGCAGATAATTTCTTATATAAGTAGCTGTAAAATCAGGTTGTTAAAAATTGCAAATATGCTACAGGAGACGATACTTTAATCAGCAATATTTCACCAGCTGAATAGCGTATTTCACTATGAGCCTTTGCTTTTGAAATTTGCGATGAATAATTTTTGGCTGATGCATAACTAGAATCGACACTGTATTCTAAACAATCCATTTATAATAATAGTAACATGTTTTGCTGAAAAATTATATTTCCGACGTTTTGTAATTTGATGCAAGTCACCTATTCAGAGTATGTTTATGTATATTAATCGTAGAATCTAAGTAGAGAGCTTCTTGCCAGCTATTAGTTGTATCCCGAGTAAAATAAACGTAATCCAAAATTTTAAATTATTTTGTGGCATAACTGATATCTGCTCTAGGTATTGTTTTGAAAGAGTAATAATTGTCTGACCTCAATATTTTTATTTCCGCATCGCTTACTACTTATAATTGAAAGACGAGGAAACACTGTATTTCGCATGACGTGAAGTAAGAACATCCAGACTGGTACGAATGAAGATTTATTAGCTAAAAAACACGACGGAACTAGTCGAAAATACACTCATTTAAATGCAGTCAATGAGAACTGAAGTGAAAACAACCAATTTATCATTTCATAGAAAACTGCAGAATATCTTCCTAAATTATAAAATCCATACATTAAATTCTTCATTTGTACATCTTTCATCAATTGTCCTTTATATTCTGTATGGTTCTTCTAATTCACTATTCCTTCCTATTTTCCTTTTTGTGTTTTATTCAATCCGATCTTTTTAGCATTCTGCTGCCAGCCATTCAACTTTTGGTTGGTTTAAATAGTACTTATATCTGTCGACGTAAGTAGCATAAACCACATATATATTGATTGTGCACTATTTTGATTAATAATTGCAATAAATTCAAATATATTAAAAATATACAGAGTTATAATCAATCACATGCTGCATGTCATACATTGGATAGCTCATGTTAATTTAATACAAGAATATCGTATCTTGAATAAAACATCACATTCAAATAGATTAATGTTATACTGAATAAATTATCACACTAAGAAACAAAACAAAAACTACACTTAGTAATTATATCATATTGAATTAGAAACGAAAGTAATGCCGAACAAGAATAATAATAATTGAAGGAATACAATTTTGCCTTTTTAATCCTTATAAATTTACATCTATATTTAAATGTAGTGCTTCTGAATTTTCCTTATTGAAGTACAGAACATATACTCAAGTAACGAAATTTATTAACGTGAAATTAATAATTATTTTTTATCAACTTATCATCCAACAGCATTATTTCATTCATTGCAAACTTACTCTATCATTATAGTACAGGTAAACAGAAAGTTTTAAAGATAGATTAAGGGCAAGACATAGCTTTCAATCAATTCTAACAAAAGACAATTAAATCCACAGAAGTTATGGTGAATTATCTGTAATCACATTTAATGCACATCTTTGAATTATCTCCTATTATAAGACGTGATTTTTAAAATATTTTTCTTACATACAACCATATAGTGTCTAATCTTACATTTATAACCTCATTAGTTTCTATTTGCTCAGGTATTGTTTGCCGACCTATTTTTTTTATTTGTTTAGAAATTGTGTGACATTGTTACAATTCACTGGAAAACCTTATAAATATGATTACTTTTATTTTATTTTGTTTTTTTAAGGTTTCAAATGCCCTGTTAACTTATATCGTATTTAGCACAGCAAACTGTTGTATACCTCAATCGTTTACAGTAGTTAAAAGATTCCTGTCGAGTATTTAAGAAATAAAGAATATGAGAATGAACAATATTTTTTGATAACTTCTTCAGGTTCTACATTTACAAATCAATAAATAGTGTATATTATAATTTTTACTACAATTTGGATACCTAAAGCTTTAATTCTTTTGAGCTTGTGAATACACATGTATTGTGGTGTGTGCTACTTATATTGACATAAGTAGTATATGATGTTAGTCAGGAACAGAATGTCTGGCAGCAGAGAGCCAAGAGGATTGAACGGTAAAGAATGGAAACAGAATGCAATTTGTATGAAAATGCAAGAACAATGAAGTCTGAGCCATTTTGAGACAATTGATGGACATTTTGTGAATTGAGCATTTACTATATGGTTGTTAGACTTTATTAACAAGTTCTGTCATCTGTTGTCAAATACATTCGATTGTTCCCCACCCGTGTTCTGTTTATTACTGTATGAGTAATAGTGTAGACAACAATCCTCAAAGTAAATTTAATATCAGAATATAGAAGTTGTAACCGAATGTGATTAGATACATGTGGTATTTTCCTAAATAGCCAAAGTTTTCTATATTGTGTCACTTTTTATCTTTTTTTAACACAATATCATATTCATTGTATGGAAATTCACTATGTAAATTGTTTATGATATTACCTAATTTATTTACCTTCCAATTTTGCCGAAATCAAGTGTTCATCTATCTGTCCAGAGCTTGAGCGTTGGTGCGCGATACTGAAAACCCTAGGTTTGACCTTTGGCGAGATAATGTATGTGCACTGCTCAGGACTCCCTACTAAGACGAGACAGCTATTCAGTACTTCTTTTTTTAATTATTCTCTGACTACGACCAGTTCGCTATCCATACTAAGAAAATTTTACTGTCTCGAAAACCCGTCATGCTAACTGTTTTAGCTTGTGTTCTGTGTCCTATTAATGTATAACGTAATGATACCGTCAATAAGAGAACAGTTAATATCGATCAGACCAATGACGCTTCAAACCTGTACGAGCAGTTTCGAGTCTTTATCGGTCCTGCTTCCCACCTAGCCCTGCCTGTTAAGTCCAGAACACCAATCGCAGCCTCTGAAATATGAATCATTTATTTCAAACATACTGGATTTATATACCAGTCAAACAGATCACATCATGCCATAAAATAGGAAACAACATTTGTACAAGATCTAGCCAAAAGTGGCTGTGAATGTGGGAGATAGTAATTGACAGACTGTGTATAACTCAATAATGATAAATCGTATAATAATAGTTCATAGGTCAAAATAAAGCTCATAATAACGCGGACATGAATATGAATAGTTTAGTTATTTAACAATTATACGATAAAAGTATGCGCATAGCAATAGTCCATAACTGGATCCCAAAAGTTACCATTCAATATGCTTCTCGGGATATAACACTGACAATATATTCTTGTTTTACGAGAACATGTGGTTTTTGTTAGATAGAGTGGACGTGTAGATCAGTTAAATTCATTCAAAGATTTTTTCATCCAACATTTTCATAATTCTGAGGTTCTTATGCTTATATGAAGTTTTGTGAACGATAAATAGGTATTTAACATGAATAGTGAATAGAATCATAAAATAAAACCGAAGATGAGATTTGCGTATTTGAAAGATTTGTTTAAGAAGATGTAAAAAATTACTCAAACGTTCTAGCTTCCCAAAGCATCTTTAGGGCGGCGGATATGTAATTCACAACAGTTTCACCATATATCGCATTTCGTATCAGGATTCATTGGTGAACCAACTGGACAACCATATGCACGTGCGAATTCTTTGCTATTAACCAACGCCCCGATTACTCTTCCAATGTAGAGAAAACAAAATTATTTCATTAGTTTGTATATCTGTAAACTAAATACACAATACTGTCAAGTTTGCTAACTGAAACTACTGTTCTCTGTCAAAGACTCTGAAAAGTTAATAAGATTCAAGGTTAAGTGGGCGACTATATGTGGAGTTATAGATCATCGGAATTCAATACTACATGAGTTTTATAGCCATTTGTATTGTGGGTCTAGTAACATAAGTACAGCATTCAAAGAAAATGAGGTTGATTTCATCTAGAAAATCCAATCGCAAATATCTGTGAATTTTCGTTATATACTGTATTATTCGAAATAAATAGTTTTCTTTCAAAAATGACAACGTTGGTTACTAGTTTCTTAGAATTCACTGAACGTATTGTGTTATGTATGTCATCAAAATAAAATTGCTACATACATTTAATTAGTTATTTTTTACAATAATATGAATGAAACATTTACTTATTTCATATGTAATTTCAATTATTGTCAATGCTCACCTATATCTTTCCACTACATGTGGAACAACTACTGAATGTATTAAAAGAGAAGTTCCATTATGATGTCCACAAAGAGACTTGAAAAGTTATTAAAAAGAGAAATTTAATAAATTACTAATTGTAATTTCAATAATAACCCAAAATCATATAGTTAACTTTAAGCAAATACCATTTCTATCATACTTTTGGCATTGGATACGTATAACAATGATATGAATATTTAAGATAATTGAACAAATTCAAGACGTTTTCATATGAATATAATTGAGTTTGTTGGTAGTTGTCGTTTTACCAATTTATGTATTGGTCTACATTCTCAACTTCATTGATTTATTAGTTTTCATTGTTTTATTGATTTCACTAGACTGAATGAAAATTTTGCTAATTTGGAATATTTTCTATTAAATTTCAGTATCAATTTAATGATAATTCATATGCGAGTGAATGATTCACACATGCACTTGATTTTGACTTTTTATTGAAAATAGAGTGAATTGATAAGTCTCCTAGGCTTAATAATGTTGTTATGGGGTTTATATCTCATCTGATAGATTGTAAATAGAATAAATTGGAAAATAATTCGGTAATCTGAGTCAATGTGGAAAAATATTTATAACCATTGAAGAAGCTATCAGTAGCTAATTAGATAACGTGATGGTATTTGAGACGATTGGTCCCAGAGTGAACATCAACTATGGGACACAGGTACATCCAGCTGAAAAGTCCTAAATAGGTTGAAACGCACGTCCTGGATTCTACTGTTAGCTATCGTACATCTTCATTTACATTGAAAAAACCGTTTTTACTGTTTACTATGTATGTCTACTAAAAAATAATTAAATCTCCAGGTAAAAATTTAGTAACAGAATAATTATAAATGAATGAAATATACGATGAGCACTGGTTTCTTATACATAACTTAACTTTCTATGGAATTTCGTTATTGCTTATTTATATTACTAATGCGTATGACATGTAAACTAAATTTCAAATACCACAAATAGTATAATATTAAAGTAAATATCTGTAGACATTCTGATAAAATACATTAATTTATAATATGAAGAAAACTGTGACTTGCTTGTGCAAATGAGAGAAAGAACGATTGATCAGATATAAGAGAGAGATTATAATCTTGATTAACACTATTAGAATACTTCTCATATAAACGCCTGTACGTCTAAGAAAAGTAAATAAATTTATGTAATATAACGATTATTATAACCGTGTTGATGTCTTTTTAAAATGTGATTGAGTTGTTGTTATAGTGGAATAATTTATAAATGTATATATGGTGTAAATGGAGAATACTTATCTCAAAGATTATTAATAGCTTAGTTTTTACTATGAACAATCAAAATACATACACAGATGGTTTCACATTTTTTATCGATATTAAATGAAAATTTAGGAAAAGGTTTCGACGCATATTTATACCAGAAGGGGTTTTGCGGAGATTTTAGTAATTTCAGTAGTTGAGATCATGAGTCGATTGAAGCTAGACTACCTTGAAAAACCTGAAAGCACTGGACGGCCGTTTCGTTCTATTGAAATTACTACAATCTCCACAAAACCTCTCCTGATACTAATCAACATATACTCACTAGAGACTGACTTCAAGAGGTATATCCTGGAGTTTTAGTGAGAAGTAGTGACCAGTGGAGTTCAACCGGGTCAGTTGTGAGATAGTAACTCACTGATGACAGTGGTGGATGTGTCGCTTAGTTTCGTGGATTATTTGAAGTTAGGCAATAACTTCATCGGGTGCCGGCTCAGTGGTTTAGTTGGTTAGGCGCCTAGCGTGAGATTGATGGGTCATGGGTTCGAATCCCGCGAGGCTGGGTCGTGGATGCGCACTGCTGAGGAGTCTCTCAATAGGACGGAACGGCCGTTCAATGCTTCCAGGTTTTCCATGTTGGTTTAGCTTGAATTGACTCATGATCTCAACTATTGAAAGTATATTTATATAATGGACAGGTTCATGTTCTGAGTTGTATACTCTTCTACTTAGTGAATAGATATTGAATATTTATTCTAAAGATAACTAATTCACATACTCTTTGATATAATCGAATCCATTTTTCTGACTAATGAATTATTTTATAACATAAATAAAACTTCATTTTTGTTTTATCGTACGATTGATCTTCAAACTTCAAAATAACAGTGAACTTTACAAATTTGATATACAATACAATATCATTAGCCGTATAGAAGATTATAAAATCATTTCTTGTCTATTGTTTTTATGCACAGAATAATAACCACTGAATGTAAAAAAGGAACGTCTGACTTCAAATAGCAGACGACCTAACTCGGAATCCAGTCATTTGAAACACGTATCGTTAATGGAGTTTTTATACAGATAAAGTTGAGCCATACCCCCTTACAATATGTATATTCAATCTCTGTAACTTTAGTCTGATTAAGAGGTGACCAATTTTCTACAGTGCTAAACCAAATATAAAAGTGCAGTGAATATATCGACAATTTGATGTGAATTTTTATCTGACTCGATGTTTGGTGTTATTATTCACTTAACTGGTTGTACAATATTTATTGGATTTGATCTCCAATTATTGTTCTTCAATAAATAGTTGTACTATTTCTAACTCAGTTGTTCGTTCTGTTACAACCGATTTCAGGCATCTAAAAGTCTTCTGAAATCAGAAGAAGAAAATGCCCCACATACACAAGGAGTTGCATTGATGCTGTCCAAACAAGCACAAAATGCACTTATAGGATGGGAATCTCATGGACCAAGGATCATCAAAGCCTCCTTCAAAACAAAGAAAGAGGGCATTACAATGAACGTCATCCAATGCTACGCGCCTACCAATGACTACAATGAAGACGCTAAAGATCAATTCTACGATAGGCTGCAGTCAATCGTCGAGAAGTGCCCAACAAAAGACCTGACTATTCTGATGGGAGACCTAAATGCCAAGGTTGGAATCGACAACACCGGATATGAAGAGATCATGGGACGACACGGACTGGGAGAAAGGAACGGAAATGGTGAGAGATTTGAAAATCTATGTGCCTTCAATAAACTGGTCATAGGCGGGACTATATTCCCACATAAACGCATCCACAAAATCACATGGACTTCACCGGATCACACCACACAGAACCAAATCGACCATATCTGCATCAACAAAAAGTTCAGGAGGACGATGGAGGACGTGAGAACAAAGAGAGGAGCTGATATAGCATCAGATCATCACTTGCTGGTCGCCAAGATGAAATTGAAACTCAAGAGGCACTGACAACGGGGAGGACAATATCCCAAAAGTTTAATACGGCTCTTCTTCGGGATAATGACAAACTCAACTAATTCAAGATAACCCTCAGCAATAAGTTCCAAGCCTTTCATGATCTACTCAATGGAGAAGGAACTACTATGGAGAGCAACTGGAAAGAGATAAAAGAGGCAATCACTTCAACGTGTTATGAGGTTCTGGGCCAAAAGAAGCACCATCACAAGGATTGGATCACGGTCGATACACTGGATAAGATTCAAGAAAGGAGGAACAAGAAAGCAGCAATCAATACCAGTCGAACAAGAGCAGAAAAAGCCAAGGCACAGGCTGAATACACAGAAGTAAACAAGCAAGTGAAAAGGAGCATCAGAAGTGACAAACGTAAATATGTGGAAGATTTGGCATTGACGGCGGAAAAGGCTGCGAGAGAAGGAAACATGAGACACAACAAAGAAACTCTCCGGAAATCACCGTAAACCAGAACGACCAGTGAAAAGCAAGGAAGGCAAGATAATCACCAACATTGAAGAACAACGAAACAGGTGGGTAGAACACTTCAAAGAACTCTTGAATCGACCAGCTCCACTGAACCCACCCAACATCGAAGCAGCACTCACGGACCTCCCAATTGATGTTGGCGCACCGACAATTGAAGAAATCAGCATGGCTATCAGACAAATCAAGAGTGGCAAAGCAGCAGGACTAGATAGCATTCCAGCAGAGGCACTGAAAGCAGACATGGCGGCAACTGCAAGGATACTCCACATTCTCTTCAGAGAGATTTGCGATGAGGAACAGGTACCAAAAGACTGGAAAGAAGGACTTCTAGTCAAAATACCAAAGAAAGGCGATCTCAGCAACTGTGACAACTACAGGGGAATCACTCTTCTTTCAATACCAGGAAAAGTCTTCAACAGGGTATTGTTAAACAGGATGAAGGACTCCGTAGACGCCCAACTTCGAGACCAACAGGCAGGATTCCGTAAGGATAGATCGTGCACAGACCAAATCGCAACTCTACGGATCATTGTGGAACAATCAATTGAATGGAATTCATCACTCTATATCAACTTCATCGACTACGAAAAAGCATTTGATAGCGTGGACAGAACAACTCTATGGAAGCTTCTTCGACACTACGGCGTGCCTCAGAAGATAGTCAATATCATACAGAATTCCTATGATGGATTAAACTGCAAGATCGTTCATGGGGGACAGTTGACAAAGTCGTTCGAAGTAAAGACCGGTGTCAGGCAAGGTTGCTTACTCTCACCCTTTCTCTTTCTCCTGGTGATCGACTGGATCATGAAGACATCAACATCTGAAGGGAAGCACGGGATACAGTGGATAGCTAGGATGCAATTGGATGATCTAGACTTCGCAGATGATCTGGCTCTTCTATCGCATACGCAACAACAAATGCAGGAAAAGACAACCAGTGTAGCTGCAGCCTCAGCAGCAATAGGTCTCAATATACACAAAGGGAAAAGCAAGATTCTTCGATACAACACAGCATGCACCAATCCAATCACAATTGACGGAGAAGCTTTGGAAGATGTAAAAACCTTTACATATTTGGGCAGTATCATCGATGAACACGGTGGATCTGATGCAGATGTGAAGGCGCGAATCGGCAAAGCAAGAGCAGCATATTTACAACTGAAGAATATCTGGGACTCAAAACAATTAGCAACCAACACCAAAGTCAGAATTTTCAATACAAATGTCAAGACAGTTCTACTGTATGGGGCGGAAACCTGGAAAACTACGAAATCCATCGTCCAAAAGATACAGGTGTTTATTAACCGTTGTCTACGCAAAATACTTCGGATCCGTTGGCCGGACACTATTAGCAACAACCTACTGTGGGAGAGAACAAATCAGATCCCAGTGGAGGAAGAAATCAGGAAGAAGCGCTGGAAGTGGATAGGACACACATTGAGGAAAGCACCGAACTGCGTCACAAGACAAGCCCTCATATGGAATCCTCAAGGTCGAAGGAAGAGAGGAAGACCAAAGAATACATTACGCCGGGAAATGGAGAAAGATATGAGAAAAATGAACAAGAATTGGATGGAACTAGAAAAGAAGGCCCAGGACAGAGTGGGTTGGAGAATGCTGGTCGGCGGCCTATGCTCCATTGGGAGTAACAGGCGTAAGTAAGTAAGTAAGTAATAAGTTGCATAAATGTACTTACATAGTAAGACGCTTTTAAACCTCCAATATCGGCTAAAATTTCATCTCGTGTGTCGGTTTTAAGGGCCTAGATCAATTAAATAATTAAAAAATGTGTTATGTGATGTTGTGAACATTAAATCTGAGCATTTTGTATATTTGTGATTTAACATTGAAATGCTCCATGGAACTTCGTGTTATAAATATTGTAAATTAGACTGCATTGACTATAATAATCGAACATTTCTGACATAATAATTGAGATATTAGCAATATTATAAATCACTTTGTAAGGAACTTGTAATCAGTTATTCCTTATGTTATTTATTTTATTATAAAATGTATTAAAATTTTAAGATTATTAAATCTACCTAATGATTTGGTATTAGATGAGTGTTTTAATGTAAACTCATATAGGTTATATGGAATTCAGGGTTAACGTAGATGATACTAGATTGTTTTCAAAAATCATTATGGGGTTAAATGGTAGCTAAGGAAAATAACTAAAAGAAAAAATGCTTTAAATGTACATAGTAAACATCTAATTGGATAGTTCACATTCATTACGAATAATGTTAACTACACACATTACATTAATAGTGAGTTCCGTAACATATGATTTTCACGATAAAGGTGAATTATGTAACATAAATAATTTTTCGGTTCATATATTTGAAGCAATTAGTCCCTTTGATAAATTTCGATAGTGTAATAAAAAGACGAAGATTATCAGAACAATGTGATATATTAGGGAAATACATTATGAACAATCTGATCACACATAATATACATGTTGAGAACATTTATATATAAAAATAAAAAGTCAACTAGATTGGAAATGGGGTGGAGTGAGTTTAACAATATAAGTGAACCAGTATTTTGTGTAATGTTGATCAAATGTATATTCCATGGCAATCTTAAAAATGTTTAACGTTAAATACAATTCACATGAAAGGTGTTGTGACTTTTATACTAAATTATAGAAATTCTAAATGCTCAATGACTGCACAAAAATATAGGTATACTTTCGTATGTTATTATCTATAATCTACTAAACTTACTTTGTAATCGGTAAATTCATAAAGTCTATATTGATCACTAATACATGAAGCTTTAGTTTCTATCTCAGCTGATAACATAATCCCAGGCAAACCAGTGTGACTAGTACCAGCTGAATTTAACAGTACACCTTGAAGTTCAACAAAATTAATAGATTATTCTTCATTAAAATGAGAATTGTTTTTAACATATTTTTAACATAAATACTAGTTTCCATATACAGTAAACAGTTGACAAATAAATAATAGAAGGGTAAACAGAAATCAGTGCATAAATGCTTGATAAACACCAGTTTTTACATCAATCGAAATGAATGTGTAAAATAATGAGTTTGTCAGAAACTATTATAACAGACATTATAAAAGGAGATGGATGGCGGCTAGCAGTGGAATCCAGAATACGGATTTCTTTGTATTTGGGACTCGTCAATTAGATGAACCTACATCCCATCTCTGCTTATAATGCTTATGACCTAAGACAATATCAAGGCAATCCTCATGAGATGCACATATGCCAATAAGAAACTAATCCATTACAGTCCTAAATATCAATTAGAAGATTCAAACAACCATTATTAAAATGAAATTACTATCAGGACAACTGCTGTCTAATGTTGTGTTCGAAAACGAGTATGATATTCATTGTATGACAACAGAGTAATACTCAGTATCAATTGGTCGGTGACTTATAGAATAAAATGATTTTGTGAAGTTAGAAAGATTAAAAGCATGGAAACTAATAAAAACCAAATTATGAATCACATAATTCGTCGATTTCTAATGAAAGTGTTCACTATCTGAATGCATCTCCAGTTGATAGAGAGTGTATTCGTCTGAGACGTGGATCGATAACACAAATGAGATTTTTATTCAGTTATTACAAGTAAACTATATGAGTGTGAACCAAGCTGAGATGGATGTGGTCGAGTATTTGATAGTCAAGCTGAAAAGATTTAATATTTCATTTGAAATAGGACTAAACTAGACTAGTTGAAGCCAATCTACTAACCGCTGAATGATATCACAAGCAAAATGTTTTATAAATTACTGTACTAAACTGAAATTTCAACCTGTTATTATATTTGAATATTTAAATATTGTGACGATTGGCTTTTGGATTCTTTGTATTCATATTATAGTGAATTATCGTGAGATCGTCCTCCTTTCAGTGATGTTCTGATTTCGAGAATGTATCCATACAGGACACTGGTGGTATTTTTAATTCCGTAATCGTAAAACGCTTAATACTGATATGTGTAGATTGTACTCAATGACAAAATATTATTCTCACATTACATGATGTTCCTCCATAAGATCATTTTAAACAGATGAATAACAAACTGAGATCGTCAAACTCTAGAAGTTGACATTTTGTTGATATGTAAAACAAATGATGCTGATGAATACACCTTAATAATCTGTTAAATGGTAAATTTCTCTATGAATTCATTAGACAATCAAAATGATATTGTGGTTTTATGAACAATATTATACCGAAAGTGATAATTTTATACTAATTAATTAATATTACTTTTAAGAAACTGAAAATTTTGTATACTGATTGAACGAACCTTGGATACCTATGGCGTGCATAATTTCATGACTTATAATCCAACCCAGTGCTCCAAATTTTGAAGCTAAACTACCATTTTCATAATAAAGTGGATGTCGCAACATTCCAACATTCACATAAATACGGTTTTCATTCATTTTGTAGTAAGCGCTGGTTGTAAAGATCGGTGATTCTAAAGGAGATCTATTCACATAAAAAGAATAATCTTGATTAATTATGTCATCTCCCACTGAACATTTGATAGATATTTCAACTTAGAGAACAACTGTTTAGTTATGAATATCGTATACTGAAAACTATGACAGTTTTATTGCCGAGTTTTTGAATTTATTGATAGTTAACTACGAAATGTAGTTTTTACCTAAAATTAGATTTCCTACTCAATGAACCATTTGATATTATCAGTACTCTTATAAAATAGTGATTTATATAAAAAGTATCTAGTTTACATTCAGTTTCCATGTGCCTTAAAAGATGAATATGGTTCTATCATGCTAGAATGACTTATTTTATCTGTTTAACACTACCTTTGTTTCTATTGAGTGACATGAACTTATGCTGAGAAAAAAATCATCGAAGTCCTAGGTACAGCGTTACATGTTCATCTTCATAGGTAACAACAACAATAACTACTACTACTACTACTACTAACACTAATACTAATACAACTAATAATGATTATAATCACTCTAGTTTTATAACTTAAGAGAAATATTTCTGAAAGAAATTTATATTTGTAATACACTACGAGACTGGAGTTAAAATAAATCCAACGTTTTACTCCACAGCCTGGTCTGAACTTCGTCAAGCGAAATATTGTCATTGTAATTTCTGTTCATAATTTTTTGCATCGTTACTATTATCAATTGTTACATAATCATTTACCTTCTAAGCACTAATCCCACCTTGTTATTTCTTACTGATTTCATATCTAACACTGAATATCTTGATCAATTGTGTAATTATATCATCTTATCAAAAAAAGGACAAGATAACTGATTTTATTGCTTTGATGTGAATTTACAAGTTCAGCTGTTTCTGCTACATTCGGCGTACAATCAAGCAACTTAACCAACATATGAGGGAACATACCCTAGCTTGGTTCGAAAAACACCAGACGAAAATAATGCACAGCTCTATCTTGGCATGTCTAGTTAGCAGTAGACGTGTGGTAGATAAAAATTAATCATTTTGAGTTATCTATCATAAACTTTCATCGTTTTCTAATAGGCTTCTATTTCATCTACTACATGTAGCTAAACCTATAGGGATCCGAACGTGTAACACTTGTGAACGTATTCAAAAGAAATTAGTGACACCACTGTTCCATCATTGACCGGATATCACGTAACAAACGACTTCATTGATTTTTTTGCATCCTGTATCGGTTTTTCACTTTTCACCTCCTTCCGTCTAGTTTCTTCAATATCTAATTAATTATACACTATCTACCACACAATTTTGATAGTGTTTTGTGATTACAATTTTGAAGTCCATTTAACTAAGTTTGACCTATTTTCATTGTCTAACTATTGACCAGAATTATTGTTATTTCATTTTCTTATCACTACTAGTACACCTTTCACCTTCTTATTGATTTGTACTTTATGATGTGTAGTTGTGCAATCTATTTCATTATGACTATTGACTCATAAATCGCCTTGATTATTATAATGTTTTTATTAACTCATACATTCGTGTATATTAGATTGAAGTTTGATGAAGATCCAAATGAAAACAATACTCTTCGGTTATATGTATTATATTATTATTGTGCTCAACATATATTATATATCTTCATTCTAGTCGTTAACTTTGCCATTTCGTTTGATACAGGGAACTTGTTTAAGTTGACATTGCATATTAATCGTTTCAGCATTAGAAAGTTCCATTTTGTTTTATAAACAACTCTGAGTTTCTATAAATATTCGTCAACATACATCATCAAAATTGATTGTAAAAAAGTTGTAATAGTAGTATAGAGAGCGAATCACATAGTCACTGGGTTAACATATTTTGTCGGTAAAATTTGTTTCATTTACGTGATCACGAAAACAAACAGGTTTCTGTTTTGACTCTTATGCACTTTAAAATCATTTAACAACAACCGTGTTGAATAAATTATGTCAGTTCAAAGAATAGGTGTGAATAATAGAAAATGGTTTAATTCTTTTGTTACCTGATGGTAATATAGATTCTGATATTCAGATAGAATATCATTAAATTACTAACCTGGTTTAAATAAATCATCTGAAATCACGAGTAAATACTTATTTGAAAAATAATAAATAAAAGTAAAGGGAGTAGATGGATTGTCATTTGAAAGATTTAGATCATTAGTGGTTATTTTACATAGATTATAGTCTGTTATTTGGGTTCACATTACTAAACAGTGTCAAATCTCCTGAAGACGAAAATATAAAGATGTTATATGATATATTAATAATGATAATGGAAATTAGTATTTGTCGTTTGAGTTATAAAATGAGTGAAATCATCTTACCTTATTACGCTTGTAACTAGTGTAATGAAGGCACCGAAAGTTTGCTTAAGGAAAATGATTTGTACATCATTCTCTCTTCTAGGATTTTAATTAGTATATTCGTCACAAGATTTAGAGGGAAGACGTCTAAACGAACCGAACACTGACTAAATCAGTCCACGAAAGCAATTTGATTTCATGGTAATGTGGGTTCTATTCAGTGGAAGGCATCAATCCATAAGATTATTTCGAATATAATATACTCAAATTTTTCTAGTTAAATAGTAAAATTATTAATTTGTGATAATTTGTATTGCGTTAATAGCAGAGATATCATGACAACTTACGGATTATAATTGTGTAATTGCGTTTTCAAAGTGTCAATATATTTCGCTTTACGCATATAGAATTCATTTATGTAATAATTGTCCTCTCGAATCGGGTACTAAATATTGTTTGTGTGAAAAAACATTGATATAGATCATTTAAAAGGTGTTTACAGCACGTTCTAAACACTCTGTCTTCCAGTTTATTGAGTAAATATTTCCGAATTAAGGGTTTTGGAAAATGCAGTGTCGTTGAAGTAACATTTCTGTTTTTCACTGTCGAACTAATCATTGTCACGTAAACTGACTTTTCTCAGTTTGTAACGCAGAGTTACCGAAACGATTTTACTGAAGCATAGAATTGTGCGAATAGTCCTCGTGTGAATGTAAATTTTGCCACTTAATGATACATACAACCTTCTGCTATGACGAGTTTATGGGTGATGATTTTCTACATGCACTCAAGTCGTTGGATTATGGTAGGATTGAAGTGTATTTTTTGGGGAGCAGCAGATTGGTCCATAAATTGACCGATATATTTGAACCTTTTACGGTTTAACTACTGAGTTTCCGAACTGTAGAATAAAATCCAGTGAGTTGAAGTTTCTCTTTCACGTAATGATGGAATATGTTTTTATTGCACTAAGTGTTATTAATGATGAGTTATACAATTGACAGTCTTTTGTGAATTTCTCATATCTCCTCCGTGATAAGCGGATTTTATTTCCCTTAGAAATAAACTATTATATAGGGTGATATGTAACATAACCAGTTTTCAATAAAACATGCATTAGCTATATCAAATAGACATGTAAAATAATTTATATTTCAATAGTGAAATAACTGTAGCTAACTTACTTGGAATACTGTTGAGAGATTTTCTTTTTGTTGAGAAGCATTTTGATTGGAGTACAAGGCAAATATGCCCAGTTTTGAAACCTTGTTTTGCAAGAATGACTTTTCTATATCAGCCAACCATTTGAGTTTTGATATTGAGTCGATTACAGTGAGTTTAATTTCGTTAAACATATTGATCACCTGTAATAGATTTAAAATTAAACACACTGAAAAAGTGCCTGTCATGTTTGAAAATCATTACGAACCAGTTACAAATGTAAGAGAGACAGTTTATGAGATCCAAACATGAGCGTATCCTGAGCGTGATCCTAGCAATACAGTTGTAAGTTTATGGCAAGTTGTTGTATTATAGCAACTGATCTACAACCAATATGGATGATAGTTAATTTTGGTTAAGCTCTTTTATTGAGTTACTTAACAGACAATGTTATTAGAACAATAATAGTTCGCATATACTCTTTGTACCGTTATGATCACTAGATCACATGACAGACTCTAGCTAAAATGTTGATTGCGTGAATGTCACTTGATATTTCATCCTCCTGCCTATGTATGCATGTACTCAATTCCTATTATTAGCGTTTGGTTTGCCTTGCTGTGCTCTTATGCAATCCGGCTGGAAATTCGCTTTTGTAACCGCTCGTACATACTTATTGGTCTCTCCGCTTCAAATTCGCTGAATGTGCTTATAGCTTTGTGATCTGCGCCATCCGCTAATAAACTGTAGTTGCCACTTCTCATTGCCTTTCTGATTTCAAACACCGTTGAGGTTTATTTAATAACGGTTACAAGTGTGATTGATTAACAGGCTATACCACTTGAGTATGATGGATCTTGGTTTTTCAAATCGACCATTGTTCTCTGTTCATTAATAATATGTTTTTGATATTTAAATTGTGTACCAATATACAGCCTAACAGAGTAGCTAAATAAGATCATTTGGATGGATTTTAAAATCTGTGTTTTAAATAGTTTTGATGAGAGAAATGGTTCTGAAGATTATTTGAAAAATAATCAGTAGATTTTCGCCGAACTTGTAATTTTTTCGAGAAAAGTGGTTTGAGTTAATTGTCTAACCGAAACTAGATCGACATTGGAACGGTGTTGACCATTTTATGTAATTCATGTATGAACTTATATCCGAATTCGAAGGAAAAATTTCACAACGTTTGAGGGACAGGTGTATCTGCGATGTCGAAAGTATGAAAGTGTTTTATAAATTCTCATGAATCAACATCAAAGTAACCCTAATTATTGCATCATAAACTTCGTCAGTTCGTAATATAACCAAAATCAATGTTATTTAATACAAATACCGTTAGAAAATATTTTTAAGCCGAACCTTTATTGAGTTAATATGCTGATTACCATTTTCTGTGAATATAAGTCATTTGGTGTGAAGTGTGTCTTAAATTGTGTTATTCGGCGATATTTATTTACGTTTACGTAATTCAAATCTAAAAGCGTAGTGACCACTTGAACTCCTCCTGTAGCACTTCTGGGGCTACTGTCTGTCTCAAGCCCACACAAAGGAGAAGGGTTGGCCATGTAGCCGGAAACCTCAAACCGTAGAACACAACCTTGCTACAAGCGCTAACCAGAATAAACAATCTAAACTCTGCCCTGGAAGTTGAAGGAAGAATTATTACACCTCATGATGAAAGCCGAGATTCTTTGGAAGTTACCAGGTCGATGCGTCTTGTAGCAACCAGACCAACAATTTTATAGGTATATTGAATATACAGACAATGTAGGAGACCGGACTGACCAGTTAAATAGAAACAGAAATGAGGAGATACAACTTGGCAGTACTCGGAATCAGTGAAACCCACTGGACACAAGCTTGACAGAAAAGTTTAGATACGGGAGAGACGTCGCTGTACTCCGGTAAAGAAGAGGAGAATGCTTCACACATTCAAGTAGTTGCTGTGATGATTGCCAAAGAAGCACGAAGTGAACATATATGATGGGAATTTCATTGATCCACTATCATCAAGTCATCCTTCAAAATAAGAAGGTGGGAATCACAACAGATGTCATTAAACGTTATACACCCACCAATGATAGCAATGACAATAATAAACATCAGTCCTATTCGAGGCTGCAATCGACCATAGCTAAGTGTCCAGGAAATGACCTGACTATTCTTATGAGGGATCTAAATGCCAAAGTTTTAGTGGACAACAACAGTTATGAAGATATAATGGGACGACGTGAACTAGGAGAAAATGAAGATTAGATGTAGTGATTTGCAAATCAAATTGGTTCTAAGTGGCACAATATTCCCACACAGATGCATACGCGAAGCTATATTAGTCATACCAGACCACACCACGGAGAGCCGGATAGATCATATTTGCATCAGGAAAAATCTCCAAGGTCAATGGAAGACGTGAGAACTAGGAGAGGATCTGACATAGCTTCAGATCATCATCTATCTGGTGGTTGTCAAGGTGAAACTGGAGGTAAAGAAGTATTGGACAACTGGTCATACAGCACAACAAAGGTTCAATACAACCTTCCTTTGAGACGCTGACTTATTCAATGAATTCATGATAACTCTGAACAACAGGTTCTAAGCTATGCAGGATCTACTGATGGAAGAAATTACGTTGGAAGACAACTGGAAAGAGATCAAAAAAGCACTAAATTCAACGTATCAGGAGGTCATGGGCCGTAACAAGCATCATCATAAGGAATGGATCTCTGTCGAAACCCTGATTAAAGAAAGAAAGGACAAGAAGACAGCACTTAAAAATAGACGAAAAAGAACAGAAGAAGTCTAGGCACAAGCTGAATACACAGAAACAAACAAGCAAGTGAAGAAGAGCATTAGAGCAGACAAGCAGAAATACGTGGAATCGTTAGCAAAAACAGCAGAAAAAGCTGCAAGAGAAGGAAACATGAAACAACTATGTAATACGACGAAGAAACTGGCAGGGAAATATATAGTAAATTAGAAAAACCGGTCAATCACAAAGGAGGTAAGCCGGTCACAGGGATTTAAGAACAGATGGACAGGTGGATGGAACACTTAGAAGAACTGTTAAATATACCAGCTCCATTAAATCCATCGGATATCGAAGCAGCACATAGGAATCCCCAAAATTTGTCACTCCACCGACGATCAAAAAAATCATTATGGCCATATGGCGAATCAAGATTGGGAAAGCAGCAGCAACTAATGTGGTGTGCGCTACTTTTGTTGATATAAGTAGTTGATGACGCGAGCTAGGAAAGTAATGTCTGACAGCAGAAGATGGAGGAAGATCAAAATAGGAAGAGCGGGAACACAATGCAATTTGTATGAAAACGCATGAACAATGAAATGTCAGACAATCGATTGATGTTTGTAGCAAGAACAGTCCAGTTTGATATGATGGATTAATATTTTGCAAATTAACGATTTACTATATGGTTTTTCTATTTTAGCAAGTAACTCTGTAATTTTATGATAAGTGTTAATCGGTTGTCTTCGCCTGCGTTCTCCTTCGCTATATTTGTTGTCGCTGCTTTAAAGGGTGGACGAGTGTGGTGTGTGTTACTTGTGTAGACATAAGTAGTATATGATGTTTGTCGTGGACAGAATGTCTGGCAGTAGAGAGACAAGAAGACCGAAAGGTAAAGAATGAAGGCAGCATGCAATTTGTGTGAAAATGCAAGGACAAAGGAAGTCTGAGTCATTTGAGACAATTGATGGACATTTTGCAAATCGAGCATTTAATATATGGTTGTTAGATTTTACTAACTAGTTCTGTAATTTGTTATCAAATACATTCGATTGTCCCCATTGGTGTTCTTATCCACTACACTGGCAATATAGCAGTCGAAGCACTAAAGTCAGACACAAGTAACTTCAAACCATCATCAGTAACTGCATTCTGGTTTACAGGCCAAAAAGCAAACTATATGTACACCCGTTTTACATGATCATTTGTATCATGATGGATAATGATTTCCGGAATGAACCGGAAATTCGGAATTTCAACGCAAAGCCGGCTGTAACAATGTGATAAATGCTACGATTTTGTAAAATTTTCAATTAGATGCTCATTGCAAACATATAATCTACAATGGTCTGTTTGATATATCTCGTCTATACTTAATTGGAATAAAATGTTCGAATTTGTAATGTCAAAAGTTCAATAAATCCCGATAAAATTGGTGGTTGTATTGAGTTTACCAGAACTGCCTTGATGGGTTCTATGAAGTTCTCACACTGTATTGATATAATTGATCAATTGGGGTCACGAGTTATGTATGTTACTCGAATTTCGCAACAGAGTAATCTATGATATTTTCATTTTACTCAGGTGTGTTATCCACTTAAGATGGATAGGTTTCGTTCGAGTGTGATAATCATATTGTAGCTCGTTGGCTATATGAGAAATTCTTCAATCTATGAATTAGTTGTTTCTAAAAGTCTATTTGGATTGTCTCATTTCATCATATAACGATTTCATAATATTGCTAGGCAGGTCTGCCCTTCAAACATTGTAGACAAGTTAAATATGACAGGGACCAACCTCCGTTTTGTGTGTTTCGTTTACATGCGAACGGATATAATGTCTTTCAAGTGTCCATGGAAATCCATCCTTCAACCGATTTATACATTGCTCATCAAAATGTGGTTGTGAAGCTATTTTAAATAAAGTGAAATAATGTTATGTTGTGAGAGGATGGAATGAATTTTTATGAGGAAAGAACGGAATCAGTGAGTATGTAAGCAAATATAAATTTCAACTTGATATTCTCCATGAAACACATGACACTATCGTACAAATCCAACGTTTACAGATCTAGTGTTCATGACTACTTGTATACTCAATCATTCATTTACTCACTTTAACATGTAGTAGAGCAAGAATATTTTCGAAATAATGTTTAACCAATAAGCTGTTAACGTTCATTACTTTGCTTCGAATATCAAGACGTTCTTCAAAGTATATTTTAGATAATTCCTATTTTAAGTCATTCTACTTCTATCAATATGACTGAAAATGACAATGATGAATAAATGTACATTGGTTCAGGGATGATGTATTGTGTTGATGGGATTTGCTGAATATACTAGACTTGTTCATATATGAATATGTCTTCTGTTGAACCATGTAGGCAGAATGGAATAGGAAGTTTTGTTTTGACTAGTAACTACTACGTTGTTTATTTATGTGGTTTCTATTGATGAATAACATTTTTATACTGGTTGTTAGTATATTTATTGATGTTAGTAGCCAGTAATTATGAGGTGGTTGACCTTGTCTTTATTCATATGACGAACCCATGTGTTTCAAAATAAGAATTCAGCTGTCCTTTACGGTTTTTTACAAAGATAACTCCTCAACACTTGACATATTAAAACATCATTCGAAATGATCATCAAAAATTTGTTCAGTGCTGATCTACATACATACCTCTTGTTATTACGGTACTACTTATGAAGTGATATTCGGTTATAATCTGACTCCAAATCCCTATGTTAATTTTTTTATTCATAATCATTGAATGTTCCAATAGTTGAAATCATGAGTCAATTGAAGTTAGACAACCATGGAAAACCAGGAAACACTGGACGACCGTTTTGTCCTAGTACTGGACTTTGCAGCAGTGCGCATCCACGATTCCGTCCTCCGCACGCGAGATTAGAACCCAGGATTTATAAATCTCGCGCGCGAGAGCTTAACCACTAGACCACTGAGCCGGCACCCAACAGTATTAATATCTGACAGGTCCTGGGTCCGAATCCCGTGGGGGGATCGTGGATGCGCACTGCTGAGGAGTTCCGTATAAGGACGAAACGGCCGTCCAGTGCTTCCAGGTTTTCCATGGTGGTCTAACTTCAATTGCCTCATGATTTCAACGATTGAATTTACTAAAATCTCCACGAAACTCCTTCTGACACTAAATATTCATCAGTAATATGGTCTTTTATCCGATCCTTATGAATTTCCGTTCGAAATATCTTTACGTGTACAAAAATATTTTTCTATATTATAATAAGTCTTAGTAAATATGTTACCATAAAATAAAATTTAGAATAACATGTGACATATTGTCTTGAGAGTTAATTATGTCCGAGAGTTGATCATTACTTAATTAATTAACTTTGATATGGAAATACATTAAATATTCGAGATGTATATCTTATTTAAAAATTACACATTAATTGTCGAGAAATAAATTTTTAAAAATGGACTTATATTTTACATGGTGATGCTACACAATTACAGCAACCATTCTAAATAAGTCTACCATTTTCAACGTCAGGAACTTCACTTGCATCAAATTATGATTTTAAATATCGCATATGTATTCGGAAAATGTAATCAAGCATTTGGCAGACCAGTTAAAATACATTTGAATTTTTGTATATTCAGGCAACCAACGGATCATATAAATTTTAGTCGTTTAGTACAAGTCGAATAGTTTTTAATTGAATTTCAGAGCTAACCAAATAAATACATCAAATTTATACTAACATGAATACGCATTATTATCTGTTCCAGTGGGACTGAAGGTCAGCGATTGCAACAATTGATGCATCAAAAAATCCATAATAATGATTGTACGAAGTGCACTGTTAAAAAAAGACGTCAAGTTAAAGAAAAGCTTTAATGTAACTAGTATTGTGAACAAATAATAAGAACCACCCCCTTGTAAGTTTACACCGATCAGTAATAATAAGTTAACATTGTAGTTCTAGAGCGTGGAGCAGGTTATCTACATCATTTTTGTGCCGAACAAGCATATGAAGTTTGAACTTACAGATATACCTAATGGATTTTACCCAAGTAATTTATTAAGAGCAGCAAATAAAATTCAGCTTTATAGATCCTCATCAATAACTAAGTACAGATGGATTAGTCAAATGACATTTGTAATGTACGATATCAATGAGGAAATATAGATTAGATCATTTGAGTTTCAACATTTTTCTAAAAAACTTTTATTAGATATTAGAAACCTACCACAGAACGTGTATCAAAACAGTGTTGTATTCAGTAGATGTTCGTAGCAGAGTAAACGTGTGTTATTTTCGGGTTGTGATAAGTCTCAGAACACTAGATACGAAGTGTAGCCGGATATTATCTGCTTCACAGGATTTGTTTATATAAATCTCCGTTATTACTTACATTGTGTAGTGAAGACTGAAATTATTATTCCCAGTCTCTGAATCACTTGTCCGACATGATATTGCTGACGTAACCAAGCTGTTTAGGTTCTCAGGATCAAATGAAATAGCACACAAGTTGAACGCTGACATTTTTCCTAATGGTAATCTAATGTGACATTATTAACTCTTTTTATCGGTTCTACTCAAATAAAACAAACAGTGGCCAGTTTGTTTATTAAAGTTTGGAAAGTTTTGTACTTTGCTTAGTTAAAAGATGTGCATTGAAGGTATTCAGAATGATTGATAAACAGTTTTTGGTACACAATTTTCACCATATGTATCATATCAACGTGTCACATCGATGTAAACGGAAACTAGGTGATTATAATTGGCAGCAGCCCTATATAGATGCAAACGGACTTCTTCCTATAGTAAACCTAACAACATAGCATTTGAGAACAGAACTTCAATGCTTTTATTGCGATTAGTTTAAATATAAAAATTCAGCTTAGAATTATCAGTTTTCACTTAATGATACAAAAATATTTACCCAGGATTATGCTGATATTTCTTTTCAATATAATTAAAGTTAAACTCTTATATTTGTTGTTAGCCATAAAGAAAATGAAGTACGTTTTACCTTTTATCTCTTTCTGTTTTCATTACATCACCAAATAATTTGCAACGATGATTAAGTTCATATCGTCCTTCTATATGAAATGATAGTTTCTCATATTTTTCATATCCAGTTTGTTGTAGTAATTTTTTCAAGAAATAACTCCAATTGATCTATATAGGTAAATTAAAATAAAATGGTGATATATATATTTACGAAAGGAAATTTAACTATCATTCCAAAGTGACTCTAAGTAAAAGAGTTTTGATGAATAAGTATGATGCAAGTGAATTTCTGTTTATGATCTCTACTCATTATTTGGGTGTTTTGCAAATAAACAATGTTTTACCATAAGAAGTTTTTGGAGACTGTTAGATTTTGTAGATTATATCTCCAAATAATCTTAGTTATATAACAATAGAAAAATCATGTGGTGCTGAAAAACTTTTTCCTTATAGTATAGGATATCTGTTTAGTTCATATTTAGTGGTTCATTAGACTAAAGGATAAATACTTGCCATGAGATCTGCGTTTTACCGTCAAGCTGCTGTAGACGTGTATTGCTGAGGCCGATTCTCAGTTAAAAGAGCTGTTCACCATGTTTAAGGCTTCTAGATAAGGTTAGTTTATGATGGAGACAATGAAAATAAGTATCTATTTCATAACACATGCAGGTAGCTGCCAACTACGTCTTCAATAACCTTACTTCAACCGCATTACGTTAAAAAGGACATTATTCAGGTAAGTTTTGAAATAAAATTTACCTGAGGACAAATGGATTTCAGTCCTTCAATTGAAATAATTTCATTTAATTCCCTCACATGAAGTCCTTGTGGAACTGATATTTTCTGAAAATTCACCATAAAAAATAGCATTTATCAAAGACACGGGTAATTTCTTAATTTTGACTACATATTGGAGGGGGGAAAGATGAGAGAAGTCCTGCAAACGTGATACTGTTTCATAAAAAAGCATACGGATGAATGTTTTTATAATGATTGATACTTAAAATATTAAAGTACTATAAAACTTCCTCATAAAAAACCCTTCACAGTCATTTTCGTACTGATACATACCTAAGTTTTATGTTGAAGTAACGATGACTATTTTCGTAAATTCTTTTGACATTTAAAGAATAACAACTATTAAATCTCTCTGTTATTTAGTTATGTTTCGGTAAATTTAATGAAACATTCTTCTTCGATATAAATGTAAATAATATTTCATGTGATGCAATTGCATGTTCATACTGAGTGATTATTCATGAGAGTTAGTTTATGCTTATTATGAAAATGTTTCATAACAAACTCTAACTATATTGTTGTGTTTCATCTAGTTACAGTAGATCTGATTTGTGAAAACAAGTAATAAGGAGTTGAAACCCGAGCAAAACCGCATGAAAACTTTGGGTTTTAAAACTTTCCCAGTGTTCATAGTAGTTTCTTATTATTTCATCTTCACTAATTTGTAAACCAATGAAGCATTAAAGACCAATGAACAATTTTATTAATAATTCCATAACATTCTAGTTAACCATTTTGCAACAATCAGTAATGAAATAAATTACTTGTTTATTTCAATGAATTAATGATGAGTATTAACTGCGTGACATAACCGCTTACAGTTATGGAGCTTTAATAATCTATTGTAATAATTAAAACTGCGGAAAGTTCAGATATTTCAAAGTGGCTGGATTATCATTTGTATACACAATAGAAAAATGCATTGAAATTATCTCATAGAACACATTATTTATTTCAATGGTTAAAATCATGAGTCAATTGAAGCTAGACCACCATGGAAAACCTGTATGCACTGGGATCGTGGATGCGCACTGCTGAGGAGTCCCATACTAGAACGAAACGGCCATCCAGTGTCTCCAGGTTTTTCATGATGGTCTAGCTTCAATTTACTCATGATTCCAATTATTAAAATTTCTAAAAATCTCCACAAAACCTCTTCTGACATTATTTATTGCTAAAAGTTAATAAATTGATGAATCCAGTATGTTTAGATCATTAGCGATTATCGGAAAAATTCAATACATGGGGAATTAATATTTAATTATCCCTTGCTTTATTATCAACACAAATCAAGTTGCTGCTTAATGATATAATCACAACTCATTTTCTTTGATATCTATCCGTTTTTCAGGAATTTAAATTCTTCGAACGAATACTTAGTACTGGTGATTGATTAGAATTTGGCTTACATACATCTTCTCTTCTCAATATTTATAGTGTTTTGAGAATATATCTGTGCACTTTAAGTGAATGTTTATCTTATGGTTTATTTTTGTAACTTGATGAATTTATATGACAACTTTGAAGTATTTGAAAATTGTTTAAGATATCTTCGATGAGATAATTTTATCGTGTTTATCCTTTGATACTTATACAAATCCATGACGTTATATTACTGTGTGATAGCATAAAAATGAAGTCTTTCCAGCTACAGATTACCACACACAAAGCAGAATACTGAACATATTTTTATGAAGCGCTCTAGTCGTTGTTTGCTTCAAAGACGTTTTTGAATGATTACTTCTGGAATCTACTGAAAGTATAATAGAAACAAATCATCGAAATATAAACACAAATTTATTTGGCATTTGATGATTTTGTGGTATTTTCACTATTGAAGTCACAAACTGATCTTACCTAGGCTACTATTGAAAACTTGTAAGCACTAAGCTGCTGTTTTAACATGGCGTGGAACTATATGTTCACTAGTGACTAGCTTCAAGTTGTAACTCTTGGGGATCTAGTGACAAGACGTGACCAGTAATGTCCAAACTGTGCTTGATGTAAGGCAGTTATCCACCTCAGCGGTGGATGAACGGTTTCCCAAGATTATGGATTTACTAAAGTTAGGCATTGACACCGTCGGATTCCGTAAGGTGTAAAGCGCCCGTGCGCAAGTTCTATAATTCTGAGTTCGATATTCGAATGGAAGATTGTGGATGTGCATTGCTGAGGAGTCCCATATTGGAACGAGACTCCAATTTAGTGCTTACAATCCGTGCTTTCAATATCGGCAAATTTATTTATAACGAAACTCACATTGCTTAAATCGACCAACATTTGAAAAGCGTCCATTAACTGTGATTTCTTAAAATGAGGTACTCCCATTCCAAATGCGAGCTTGTAGTAATGCTCTTCGAATTTATCTATATCAGTCTGTTAAATAAAATTTGTAACGTCTTTTACTCAAACTGAAATATACATGTAAAACTGAGTGGATGAGACGTTGAAATACACATTGATATAGAACAGAATTTATCCGTGAAATATTTATGATCGTTATTCAAGATGTACAAATATCTCTTCTATTGTGACTTAACATTTGCCAATTGTTCTGGTTAAAAATGGCGATTCATTAATTATTCTATCATGTGTTAGATTAGGTTGTGTCCTTATAAATACCGAACTTCTTTATTGAAGATATTTAAATTTCTGTGACAGCTCACATTTAAAATTTCGTATTTTATTAGAAAATTTACCATTGGTATAAATGGGATTTTTATTAGGATGAAAAGGGAGAAATATTTACAGAAAATGATAGTTATTTCACATTGTAAATGTGAACATTTATGTAACTTCAGACATGATATCAATATAGTTTGAAAGTAGTTTATCGTCCTGAGTTGTTTATGATGGTATTAATGTTATATTGTTTATAATGCACATTATCATATCACTATGTATGCTGATATATTACTGGATTATTTTCTGTTTTGTATAACAATTTATTATCAGAATCTGTGTTAAAACTAGTATTATTTTGGTCTCCTACTATTTGACAACTATCTCAAAATGACATAAATTAGCTTGATAGCAAGTAGCACACTATCGATATCATATGGATTCTATAAACCAGATGAAATGGCTTATCAATTAACATACAACTTATTCAAATGACTTTACTTTTAATACTAGTAAATAAGTCTAATAAAAAAAGTAATTAATCATTCTATTAAATAAAGTAACAATGTGTTTTCAATGGTGGTCTAGCATCAATCAGTTCATGATCTCAATCAAAAACATAACAATTGTTGTATCCCGATAAGAATGGTGAATGGCAATTTTTGGGATCCATTTATGGACCGATATTATGAGTATATTTTTATCGTATAATTGTTATGTAACTAATCTGTTCACATCCATGTCCCTCTTATAATGAGTTTTATTTTGACTTATGAACTATTATTATACGGTATACTATTCTCGAGCTATGCCCTATCTATTGATTGCTATCTCCCTCATTCAAAGTCATATCGTTCTAATTATTGTACAAATGTTGTTTCATATTTTATTGGTACGTTGTGGTCTGTTTGATCGGTATATAAACTCAGTATGTTTGAAATATAATGATTCATATCACCGAGGCTGAGATTTGTGTTCTGGGCTCAACCGGCTGGGCTAGACAGGGAAGTAGGACCAATCAGAACTCTACGCTTCTCGCACGTGTTTTATGCGTTACTGTTTCGATCGATAATTCGCTGCTCTCTAATCGGCGGGTCACAAGTTATAACAACAAACTCCATAACCCCTAAACTGATGATGTGTTAATGCTTAATTTTAATTTGATGTCTTAACAGCATAACTATGAGATAGTGAACTAAAGTTATCTTTGAATTACTTAAAAATTACCGAAATTTTAAATAAATGTAAAAATTTACCTCTTTTGAAGCAGGATTTAACGCTATCTGACCTGGTGAAATCTGATCATTGTAATATAATAAAATATAATTTAGTGGATTCATGAGAGAAATAAATTATTAATGACCAGAATAATATAAATGATAAAAGAAAAAATGAATTCTGTCAATCATATTTTTGTCATTAATACTTAAGTAGAACATTTTAAAATGTTGACATGGTTTCCCATTTCCCATGTGTACTAGGTATAATTTGATTTTTAATTGTTTATTAATTGTACTCATAAATTTTCCTGTAATTTAACAAATTTATTTATCAATAGATTCTGGTAAAGTCATAGATTAACTTTAGTGGAATCTAATGAATGTTCATGTTAAACATACTAATTTTTGCTAATCAAATTGAGCTATGAGAATATATTGTATTACAGTTTTTCTGACAGTTATTTATCATATTACATGACCAAACAACTTTATTCCATTTAGAACGCTTTCTGATCAAGCATATTTCATTTTTTATTGATTAGAGTTTTCTAAGATACTAGCAGTGAGTAGTTAATGACTATATGAATCAAAGAATATCAGCACTCCGTTATTCAATGTAGCTAGTTGATATTGTGTAGAACATTTTAAACAACGTTAAACGCGAAAGAATTGTATGTAACATTATAAAATATATTTTAATAGTAAACATACACACACAAGTAGACAGATTTTATTGAAAGCGTTTAGATTAGAAGGTCATTATAACTATATTTTACTTTTGTCACGATTCATAAAAATCATATCATTTTGCTAAATAAAACAAAAGATCAACTAATGATGTCTTACTGTTTTCGAATTAAAATCAAAGTATCACTTGCAAGGTAAACACAATTGATATGAAATTCTATTTTTTTCGTAGTTTTTCATGTAGAAAAATGTGGAATGGAATACTTTGTTTTCAACTACTGGTTGAAACAAATAGATCCTTTTTTGTTACAGATATATTTTGTGGCAAATCGCAAAGAAATACCATTCACATTTAAAGAGTGGAAATCAAGTCAAAATTTATCTATTTTGTTTCATTGTCACTTTTACAATTGTGAATTGTAAAATCTCGAAGAAACCGAAAATGCTGAATTACAACATATTGCATATTATCACTGAAGAATCACATTAATCTTACTGTAAAGTTTTCAGATAGACACGAATTATGTAAAAACAACATACATTAGTGAAAGAAAGAAAGAGAATTAATTGTAATTGTTATAACAGTTGGGTTTTCAACGTTTAAACGAATGAGACGTTAATTTACCTTAGACGAATATCTACACTAGATTCACTCCCGGCGTCTATTCTACATGATCAAAGAACACGTGATTATCCTGACTAGAGCGTAAATATATTTCCACACCAAAAACCCGATGCAATCCAACAACAATGAACAATCAACAATAATAATTATAAGGATATGGGAATATATAACTCATCTAACGTCTGTCAAACTATCTACATGTTTGACTAAGCAGACGACCAATAATTATCATTCTCGCCCACACATCAGTAATTTTAGATGTTGTAAGACAATGGATGTCCCGTTCAAATTGCCATAACGACTAACACTAAATATTTTAATAAGTTATTAGGAGTTTCAATAGATTGCAAGCGAATGAATTCTAACAATTTTTAGAATTAGATTTTTGAAAGAAACACTTACATTTATGGGGAATATATGTCCCTTGATATTTATTGAAAATAAAATTGAATTGCCAGTTTGACTTATTATTGGTAGAAGTAAATCAGTTAGATCCATTACTTTAATGTCTGTTGAAATAGATGGTATTAGTTCCCATCCACCAAATAGATCACGTATTAATGATTGATAAGCTAATTGGGCTGTTTTCAAGTTACGAGTGAATACGCAAGATTTGTAAAACTTTCGAGCAATTTGTAGATGTGAATCTTCTATGTCGTAGGACTCATCAGCTTCAACATACCGGTTGTTATTAAAAAATAATGTAGATTGGAAAAACAAATTTCATTTGATTAAACAAGGTATTTAATTGAAAAAACTATTGTCTTTTACTGAATAACCCTCTATTAACTATTTTCCTGAACTTTTCACTTTAAAATAATTCATTCTGATTGAGAATGACTTAAATCACTGATATTCTGATGTACAACATGGTTACTCAAAAACGCAACTAATAAAGATTTATTTCATAATACTGCTTATTACATTTTTATTAAGTGAAAACTCATATCTGCAATCAGTGTAATTAAAGTGATAAGTGTTGAACTAATTGAATTTTAGAAAATACTTCATTATGGGGAATTGGTATGAATTAACTAACATTTTAACAATAATAATAATACAATTACAGTATAATTTACCAATTGTTTTCCAGAAGTAATGATCGGTCATTATTTCCATTTTACTAAATGTATTCAAACTAGCGTCTTTACTAATCAAAGGATTTTGGTTTTCCCATTCTCCACATGCAAACTGGTAAAAATTACGACAAGCATTTGTGATAGTTGAGTCGCTTGTGTCGTTCGGAAGATAAATTGCCACATTCTTTGGCGCTACAAAAAATTTGACTCTAAAAAGTTATTGACTATATTGAGCAAATGTGTGGACTTCATTATAATTTTTCCTACTATCTTGATGGTATCTAACATTAAAATAAATACGTTCCAGCCATTAATGAAAAAACTCTGATATTACTACTCATAAAGCGGAACACAACTTAAGTTTTTTAAAATCTGATACTTCTCTTATGATTAACAAATGAACAGGATTTTGCAGTGTTATAGAAATATGAAAAAAACAACTTGCTTTGTTTACAGATCAAGCAAAATTGTTAAACAAAATGCTAGCTAATGGAAACGTCAAACGCTTTGTTTTTCTGATTTACTAAGTGATGTACACAAGTAAAGGTGATTGTAACTGGTATATATTTCAGATTTTACAATAACATAAGCAGCAAAATGTATTCTTCTTTGAGCCGAGTTAACGTTTCAATTTTCTACAGTACGTTTTTATGCATTATTATCATGTATTGATGATTTGTATGGGATTAGTTTTCGAAGACTATATGAAAATTATCAGAAACTCGGAATATATGTCCTACCAGAATGTGAGTACTATCATTTTTGTAGCACGTGACATTATTCTTTACAATAAGCTAAAGTGAATGTCTGAATTTCAATTTCACTCCCAAGTTAGCTATATTTATAAATTAGTTAAATTGCCAGTGTGATTTGAAGATGTTCCATATAAATTTCTTATTTGACCTAAGAACGTTCATTATTTCTCTAAACAGCATCCTGAGAGCAAAAATAATATTTCAGTCAACTATGAAGGTTTATATATAGCTTCAATGATATTGTCTAGCATTTTAGTATTTTTACAGGTTTTAAGGAGAGCGTTGCAATCACTGTATACATAATAATCATGAATTCTTGTTCAGACCTATCATAACGGTAAATGTATTACCTTGTTTGTCTTATATAAACACAAATAACACTAGGGTAAGTTTGTTTTGTTTGAAGAAATAGCATATAATTTCTGAAAACGACTTATAAATCCACTGTTTACATAAATAATACGTTAAAAGTCATTAATACCACATGTGGTTATATACACTAATGTTTTGAATTATCTCGTCCGAGATAATATTGAATTTGATTGTGTACAATGGAATTATCAAAATGTTTATGCAGCAAAAGTTGTTTAAGGAATATCTCACCTTGTTTATTAGTTAAGACAAAATAGATAAGGACTGAACCTCCAGATATTATCACCAATAAACTTATAATAAGTATTCCATACTGTATAACTTGTTTATTTAATTTTGTTAACATAACCTCTGTAGGTGATAGAAATGATTTCAAAACGTCTAACAATTTCTTTTATTATGAAAGTAAATTATTTTTTTAACCAATTATTACATATCTTTAAATTGATTTGTTAATACAAAAAACAAAGTTACACTGTACGTAATAATTTAATATTAGATTCTCAGTAAATAGTGTTTACTGAAGAAGGAGAAGAAAAAGAAGAGAAAGAAGAAATACAAAATAACTCCTTAACGAAAAATTCTTTTTCTATAAGACTGTACATTTTTGTCTATTCAGTATATCAGTTAATGATAAAATAGAAATAAGATCATAACAAACAGTATTCAGATACTTCAAGGATAACTAAAAATGTCTTACAAAAACAATCCAAGGTATGAAAATAACTTCCAGACTAGTAGTGAGATAATTATTTACTTCAAATTAGTGAAGAGAAACAGAAGGTTGTGATGTTATCGAATAATAACTTAATATTAGTTCCGATAGTGTAATATGAAGATGATGATTATGTGTGATATATTAGGGCAATACATTACGAACAATCTGATCACATACATTATATTTGTTAAAAAAATTTATATATAAAAATAAAAGGTCTGGCTTAGGACCTAATCAAAAGTATTTCATTTTATAAGAGATATTTGGGTGATATCTTAGTTGTCTGTCAAAGAAAGGAGAATATGAACTGTTTATTGAATAAATCTAACACCACAAAAGCACATCAGTCTCTCATAAGAAGAGGAGAAGGACGACCAGTTTCCCTCCCTAAATATACTTCTAAGTAGACAAGAAGATGGATCAATCAAACAATCCATTTTTAGAAAACCAACGTGAACAGGTCAATATATTAGTTATTATAGTTATTGCCCTGTGCAATAAAAACGTGCTTTGATAAGGTGTCTTTTCAACCGGCCTGATCGTATTTGTACAAATGACATTGATGACGATGTCACGTTTTTAAATAAAACAATTATGGACAATGACTACCCCTTTAAATTCATAAATATATGGAAAGGCTATGGTACAGTGAGACGTACTATAGCTTTGGCAGAAAAGAAACCTGTCTACATCACCTTAGAGGTGATTCAAATAGCCTTTTATTGAAACAAAGGCTTAAATCAGTCATTAACAATACATATTGTGCAGCGACGGTCATTATCACGGAAATAACAAATAAGAGTAGGAGATAAACATCTATTAACCTCTATTGCCAAACACATAACTGAAACAGGTCGTAAGATTGATCATAACTCGGCTTTAGTTGTGTTGTAGAAAAGTGTAAAAGGGAGTATACTAAGGTTTATTGAAGCTCTAGCCATACGAAAATTCTAAACCCCTCTGTGTATTCAAAAGCAGTTTGTTCTCAGCTCAAACATACCCTGGTGATATTAGCTTATTATTCAGAGTGATGAGGGTTCAACTTGTTTTCACATTATTACTTTATTATCTTTGTCTCCTCTTAACTTCCCTTACCAGTCCATTTGACCTTTTATTTTTTATATATAAATGTTCTTAACAAGTATAATATACGTGATCACATTGTTCGTAATGTATTGCGCTAATATATCACATAGTTCTGATAATCAACGTCTTCTTATTACAATAACGAAATTTATCAAAAGGACTAATTGCTTTAACATTAGTTATAAAAAATTGGAAGAGGATAATAACAACTGTTTACTGAACAAATTTAAACCAAAACATATTTGAAGGATTTAGGCATGATAGAATGAGCAGTTTTCTCTAAAGCCTTAGTTCTTAGAGTTTAGACTTAAATAGATGAATTGCTAAAGCCTATGGAGTACGTATAATCTTAATTCATGGACTCTGTGAATACGTTTGTTAATTCTTATTGGTGTTATGGCAACATGACCAGAATTAAAGAGTCGTCCCTGTATTAAATGTTTATGCTATGCACTTTTCTTTTGAAAGCAATATTGCGCAAAATTCTGTTTTAATTTTAAAAAGAGTACGCTTAGTAAGGCTTTTGTAATTGTTTATATCACTTTTTCTGTAGCTATTCTATGATTTCCGGAAGATTTAGGAAGTTTCATATAGTCTAAAAGCTGATGATAATGATCAAAATTTATCCGCTTCTAAATCAAATATTATTCAATCACTGGATTTATCACCCATCTATAATGTTTAAGATTCATGTATATATCATCTTGGATTGCTCAACAACAGATTATGGCTTCATTAATTGTTATTACTACTCAAATTAAATTTAATAGTTTTTGCTCCCAATGGTATATTATATAGAAGTAAAGAAGTCTTAATAAAACAATGAAACCATTAATTTGATGATTTCAACAGTTTATTTTACTTTTATACTGTTTTATATTTTCAAGCTTATTATTCATCTAATCTTTTTAATGTTTGGTGCGTATACTTCAATTATAATTTTGTATTTTATGCTTGATTTACAACCCCATATCATACACTGTGTGGTAGTCATCTGAGTGTTTCAGGAACGCTAAATTTCGTATTATCTAAGACAAGATTCTGATGTATTTTATTGATGTTTTTCACGGTACATAGAGACTGATGGGTGAAGTTTATTCATTATATTTCAGAAGTCAGTTGATTTACAAATATGATTTCAGCAAGATTAATCCCTTTTATAAATTCTAAAACATTAATGAGAAGTTGTTTTGATTTCTGATTGAGATAATGACTAGATTAATGTTAGACCACTGTTGAAAACCTGAAAGCACTTAACGGCAGATTGGTGCTAGTATGGGACTCCTTAGTAGTGCGACATAAACTCACTGGCATACAAAAGTTGAATGCTATTTGTAGAAATAGCGAGTTTTAATAAGGTGAGTACAATGGAAGTTAGATAAACAAATTGTTAAGGAGAACGTGAGAATATAAGTCAAAACTAGAATGAAACAATAATGAGATATGACGATACGCATAACTATGAAATTCAGTGGGAAGTGAGGGTAAATAAATGGGTTTCGGAAACATTGTCTCTATACAGTTTTCAGGTTTACTTTAGTATATTCCTGTGAATCCATCTCTATCCAACAAATGAAACGTGGAATGATAAGGCATTTGTAATGGAATTTTATATATAATTTTCAAAGGTAACTGTCTAAAATTCAGCTACATATGCCAGAAATGAGCTTTTTATCGCTAATTTTATCTTTTGGTCAATTACCAGGAAAGATATTCAAAAATATTATGATTAGTTTGACTATTTGTATGAATAAGAAGACTGGTGCTTTAAGATCATTTGGAGTGTTGAGTTCACAAAGACCTAGAAGAACTAGGCAAATTACCTTTAATTTGGGAGTTTACTATTGGCTGGATTTAGAAATAAATTCATGGGATTACTGCACTGAATAATATTCTAGGAGCTATCTCACAAGCCGCATCAGACTTGTGTTGGTTCTATTAAATTTTAATTGTAGTATTAAGAACAATGATATGTTTTCTACACTCTAAATAATACCAAATTGTTTTCAGTTGAATAAATCTGTTTACTTAAAGAATTTACATGAATAACCATTTCCTATCCAGTAGGCCAGGGATACGTTTTAGTTTATATTCGATAGTTTCATCCAATCAAATTACTCTATTACTGTTGCCCGACACCCAACTTAATTTCAGTTATATTATAATTTAATGAAGTTCAGAAAATACTCAGCCAACCTAATTTTTCTCGCTTTTAAGTAAACATATATTTTTCTTACTTCGTCTGGTGATTTTCTTTCAACTTTTTGATATGATACCCCAGTATTTTCAAGCTGGAATAGTGTCAAATATATAGCTGTAACAAAATTTCAGTTCATTTGCCACACTTCTAAAACGATTGTTTTCTGATTTCTCTTGAAACAAATTCACTAGGATGAAACTGCATAGCAACACTGTCTACAAAGCTTCCTATCAAATAAAAAATGTGCGTTTGGTAAAAATCTTAGGATCTTTTTTCCTCAAGAGGAATCGACGATTAAAAAATTTCAATTTAATACTATTTGATTCGCTGTATAAAGTATTCGTCATCTCCATTCAGCATACATTTAAGAACGGTGTTACAAGTTGAATCATATCAAGATTTTCTTGTTTTTTTAAGACCTATTTTATAAACTAACATATCACTATCATTTGTTCTACATTCTACAGCTCCGCGCAGTAACAGCGCGTTTATGCGAAATCTGATACTACTGAATCTGTCAAGGGTTTCGATCGAGTAATAGAGTTACGCACAATAAGGCTGTCATATGTCAAGAACAGTGTAACTTTGAGTACGGCCCACAAGTGAACTTAACAAAGCTCAGAAATAGCTGGAGATATTCCATCCAACCATCTTTTGGAAAAATATCCCAGAATCTCTACATGTAGCTTCTCTATTGGACAAATGCTAAAACCCTTGTATGATGACTGGATGACTATAATGATGATTTCATTTTTACTAAAAATCTATAAATACCTGATAGTTTTTTTTGCCATAATTGACACTGTTTGCAGTAGCATTCTTTTCACTTGTCCTCTGTCTTCTCATTTCCGACTTGGAGGGTTTTAGTGTTCGAGTGTTCAAGTCATACGCTGTATATTAGGATCTAAGCTCTAGATATAACAGTAAACAATTGTGTTTACAAACCTTGATTCATGAGATATCCATTATATTTTTAAACTTACATGACATCATGAATGGGGAACAACATATGTCAATAAGTAAATGAGAATAATGTGTTAAAACTTAGGATTAGTTAAATAACAATATGTAATAATTTCAAAGTTGTTAGTGGTATGAAATAACAATGCGTGAGACAAAATGAAGCCGATAAAACTATTAAGATAAGTCAGCACAAATTACTATGGATGGTGAAAAAACACAACTGCAGTTGTAAGATAGATACATATAAGAAACTAAGGTATATTTCTATAAGTATTACATATTGCAACCAAGAGGTATTTTGTTGCACGTGAGAAAACGATTGGTTAGGTTATAAGTTATTGAGTTTTAGAGAGTAGTTCATAGTATAACGTACAAAAAC